CCCCCCCCCCCCCCCCCCCCCCCCCCCCTCCTAAATTAAAACGCCACCCTATAATAGAAGGCTACCCGTAATAGAACGCCACATCCAAAAGCTTGATTTGCTAGACATAATATAACGTCATACCAATCAATTTTGTACATATAGAGTATATTATTTTATAGACTCCAAAAAGACTGACAAAATAAAACGAATTGAGCAACCTGACTGATCTATTCTGACTTAAATCGACTTTCTTAGACGATTTATTCGTTAATTCAGTTTTAACTTGTCTGAATTTTTCAGTCTAAATTTTTCAGTCTGTTTGTGGCTATATATAGTCTAGATGTATATGTGATTATTATTGTATATAATGCAACAATTTAACCAAAGAATGAGTTTATTTGCTAAAACATGAGCGTATTCATAGAAAGAGCTCTTCGAAAAATCCTGAATAGAAGGCCACCGAAAAAAGGTCGATTCATTGGAACGTAATAGAAGGCCATGCCTTTTTATTTTAGGGGGTGGGAGGATTACACTACTATGCAACATTTTATGAGTATTTATAAGAAAATTCCATATTAAGGTACTAAAGAAATACAGATCCTACTTGAATAAAGTACTATTCAATAGCTTATTTGAAGCTCTACAAAACTATGCTACTACATTCAGTTTAACTTGTGGAGAAAATAGTCAAACCAAAGGTATAGACCTAGGACAGTTCCCAGTTCTATGAACTGTATATTTTCGAAGAACTGGGTATAGTGACCAGTTCTTTTTCCAGAACTGGTTAAAGTGACCAGCTCTTTAACGAGAACTGTGTGCACCCGGCAGTTCTTTTCTAAGAACTGTACACACCCGGCAGTTCTTTTTCGAGAACTGGCTATTGCAACCAGTTCTTTTTCGAAGAACTGGATTAAGCGTCCGGTTCTTTTTCAAGAACTGGCTACCGTGACCAGTTCTTTTTCGAGAACTGCTTATTGTGACCAGTTCTTTTTCAAGAGCTGGATAAAGTGATCAGTTCTTTTTCGAGAACTGGATAAAGTGATGAGTTCTTTTTCGAGAACTGCTTATTGTGACCAGTTCTTTTTGAAGAACTGGGTAAAAGTGATCAGTTCTTTTTGAAGAACTGGGTAAAGTGACCAGTTCTTTTTGAAGAACTGGGCCAAGTCACCAGTTCTTTTTCAAGAACTGGGTAAAGTGACCAGTTCTCTTTCGAGAACCGGGTGTGGGTTTGGGATGGGTTTTGTGTGGGTCGGGTTGGGTGTTGGTGTTTGTGCGTATAAGTCTTCTCTCAGCATTCACACCTAGGGGTGGGAAGTTACCGTTACGTTTCGGGGTTACCCTTGGTCCTCCAAGTGCTAGCATTACGGGATATACTCGGGTCCTCCTGGAGGACCGAAAAGTACCTCCCAATACTTTGACTTCAGGACGGCAGGGTGCCCCCCAATAGTAAGACTTCATGGGCCAAGGATCCTGGCAACACCAGTAATTGTTGGGGCAAGGGTACCACGTGACACTTGTACTGTTTGGGCAAAGGCTGCCGCGTAACTCTGGCAGTGGTTGGACCAAGGCTACCCTCCTTCCTGGCAATTGAACCTGATGGCATGAAGGTTCGGCGCAAAATTTGCATAGGTTGGGCCCACATTACCGCGCCACTTTTTGTGGTGGTTGGGTCAAGGATACTCCCCTTCCCCCTTTCTGGCAATTCAACCTGGTGGCACGACAGTTCGGTGCAAAATTTGCACCGATTGGGCCCACGTTACCGCGCCACTTTTTGCGGTGGTTGGACCAAGGATACCCCCTTCCTGGCAATTAATCCTGACGGCACAACGGTTTGGTGCAAATTTTGCATTGATTGAACGCACGGTACCACGTAATAGTTGCACTGCCTGGGCTGAGTGTACCCAGCTATACGAGCACTTGATGAGCCAAAGGTATTTGCTAATACTAGCATTTGAGGACCCAACGGTATCTCCAATAGTGGGGCTTGTCGACACAAGGGTACCCCCAATAGTTGTTCGTGAGGACCAAGGCTATGAGATTGATGATGCTAGGTAGTCCCCTGACCGTTACCTGCGTTCTCGGGTAACTGCGAACGGGGAGTTACCGTTCCCGGTGACTGAGAACTTTTTCGTTCCTGTTACCGTTCCCAGGAACGGTCTGGGAACGGTAACTTCCCACCCCTAGTTACAGATCAGTTTCTATCAAAGAACTGGTTGAACAGATCAGTTCCTTTCAAAGAACTGGTAGGCACAGATCAGTTCCTATCAAAGAACTGGCTAGACAGATCAGTTCCTATCAAAGAACTGGTTGAACAGATCAGTTCCTATCAAAGAACTGGTTGTACAGATCAGTTCCTTTCAAAGAACTGGTAGGCACAGATCAGTTCCTATCAAAGAACTGGTTGGACAGATCAGTTCCTGTCAAAGAACTGGTTGGACGGACCAGTTCCTATCAAAGGACTGGTAGGCACAGATCAGTTCTTTTAAAAGAACTGGTTGGACAGATCAGTTCGTATCAAAGAACTGTTTGAACAGTTCTCAAAAACGGAACTGATATGGAACTGTCCAGGGTCTACAAAGGTACACTCGTGTAGGACACCAGAAATTGCATTTTTTTCTCTCACTTTTTTATTCATTTTCACTCAAACTGTTCGGGTCGGTGTTTGAAAAAATCGTATATTTGAAATGTGCATGAAAAGCGGAGTTGGTCTATATGTACTTGAAACTGCGCTATCGACTTCCATTTTTTTTTTGAGAAACTCAGCCATGGTTTTCAGGGATGTTCGAAGAAATAATTATCGGAAAAGCATAAGTTTAAACATGAGAACGCAGGCGTTCACTGTTTAAAAGCTAGAAAAAGTCAAAATGGCAGCTATGTAAGAAATAAAAATGAGAACTCTGTCGAATTTATCTTTCGGCATATCCCTTAGGGAGACCAGGGTTGAAATTTTCGAGAAAAATGAAAGTCGATAGCGCAGTTTTTAACATATAAAGACCGACTCAGCTTTTGATGCTGCTTTTAAATATGTCATTTTTCCAAACATAGAGCCGGATATTTCAAGCAAAAATGAATCAGAAATAACCGAAAAAATTGAATTTTTGGCATCCTACAGCACTATGCCTTTGGGTTAACTATCTTCCCCACACCCTAAACTCATTGTAATAGCATAGTTTTGTAGAGCTTCAAAAGGGCTACCGAATAGTACCTTACTCAAGTTGGATCTGTATTTCTTTTGTACCTTAACATAGGACTTTCATCAATACCAATAAAGTGTCACATAGTGGTGTACAAGGTCATCTCAAGAAAACAATGAAAGAAAAGTATTTTCTCATACTATTATATATCATTCGATAGCGAAAAAAAACAAACTTTTATTTGGTATTTAACTCAAATTAAGATGTTAACAGAGTCAATATACTTCATGGGAACACGGCATACCACAACTGGTCAGGTAATAGACAATATAAATTTTTTTGGCCCTTCGTGCATAGTTATAACTAAGACTAACTCACTAATTCGAACATTAATCGACTTTTGACATTCCAATCGATTATTTGGAAAACATAAAACACAATTTCAGGAAGGGGCCGAATTCATGGATTAATGACCCTGCTCCTTTGAACAATCAAGAGTTCAAACGTGACTTGTGACATTTTACTATCGTAGAATGATATGAAAGAGAAAATAATGTCAATAAATTTTTTATAAATACTACTCTAATAAGTGAGATTCCTTTGAGGATAAAGTTTCAGATTAGTTTATTGAGTTTTTCTTTTGAAAAGACCAGAAATATGAACTAAAATTTTCATAAAACAGCAGTAGATAAACATTTTGGCTATCTAATGCACGAAAACAGAAAACGACTGCAAAGCTCTATATGCCACAAGATAGAGCGTTTGACGCTCTACAAAATCTACTAGACCACAATTCACCCAAATTCGGAAGAGGTTTTTTATTAGAAGATAAAGTTTGTGTTGCAGTGAACTTTTTGTGGTTCAATTAAAAATTTTTCTTAAAAAATGGAAACATTTTGAATCATATATGATTCGATAGAACTGAGCATGGGCTATCAGAATATATATAGAATGTTTCAATTTGTTTTTGAAATAAAAGAGAAAATGTTCTCACAAAAATGAGAACTTTTCACTTTAACCATGATTTTCCGGAATTTTTGAAAAATGTATTTTGCCTATTTCAACCCTAATCCATAATCAAACCCATAATAATTTATTACTAAAATGATCAGCTCATCGAGCTCTAAAAACTCTGAAAATTTCAGCCAATTCTGAGAAAGTCATGTATAAAGTGGTACGTTTCCCATGGATTCACCCAATATCTTACTTCTATACCATTGAGTTGTTTTCTGTTGTTCATATTTTGAAAGAATGGACCGTTAGCTGTTGATTGATATCAGATTGATAAACGATTATTCGATTAGCAAGTTTCTATTGGCACTTAATCAGCAACGGTCAAATATATCTTTTTTAAAAAGTTTTATAGTATGAACAAACACCATCAATGTCACTGAACATTGAAAGTGTTGGGTAGATTTCAATATCTGTTTCATGAACTACTAACTACACTCTTTCAAATAACGGGCTTAGTTTTCTAAACTTTTGACTTCGAACCTTCGCAAACGAAGGTGACCGTTAGCTGGCCATAGCCCTCTGAGACAGAAGTTGTTGTTGGTGCTAAAGATGGATTAATTATTGGTATATTTGAATATGATATTTTGGTTCCTTGTAAAGCTTCAACTGCTTGAGAAAGATTATTAACAGTGATCTGTTGTGTTGCCATATCTTGTGTAAGCAAATTTTGTTTAGCCAATAGCTCTTGCAACAATGACACGATTTTGTGCTGTTGTTGATTAGCTTCTTGTTCTTCTCCATTTTTGTCTTGGTCATCTGTTTTGATTTTTCGCTCCGAATCAGTTAATGATAGAAATTCTTGTGTTTGTGCCATACTTCGAGTATGATGCTTTTTTTCGTCCATATATGACTCTGGGTCTCTTACTAGGTTGTTGAATTGTTAGTAAGATCGGCTAGTGCACCAATTGTGAGATCTTTATTCAACTATACTTTATTTTTTATTTATCTATCTATATTTTTGTATGTCTCTCACACAACAACGTAACGCTATATATAGAGTAATAATAAACAATGAACAAAGGAGGGAAATATCCATAAGACAACGTGAAAGAAAGAAGAACGAATGAGAAAGTTCCAACATATATGAAAGAAAGGGAAAGTCATTGGTGTATGACTAATAAAAGAGAAAAGAAGCAGAGCACAAGCTTATATGTATAATCTTATAAAAAAAAAGAGGGAAAACCCTTATGACTGCATCTGAAGAAGATACAGGTCATAACAAAAACTACGCTACGTCTAGAGTGTGGGTATGTGGAAGATTTCTCTTTCGTTTTTGCACCCACGCACACAACCTGACATCCCCATGCTCACACCTAGACCCTAAATATGCAAGGATGTAGATTTATAAGACTTATTGGTCGTCTTTGTTTTTGTTATGCATCAGTTAATTTATTTGAATAGGATACATATAAATGTAAAGTGTTATTAAGCTTAGCTAAAAAAATAGAGTAATAAGTGATAGAAGTAAGAATGTTCGTAGTAAAGATGAAACAATCATGTATTTAGCATCTGCCAAATTTTTGAACCCAGTAACCACCATAAGGACCACCTCGAGCATATCCGACACCAATTGTCTTAAAATCTCTGTTCATAATGTTGCTGCAGTGTCCTGAACTTTTGAGCCAAGCATTGACTGTGTCTCGAGGAGTTTGATTTCCAGCAATATTTTCGCCGCCGGCACAATTTCTTGGATAGCCTGCAGCTGCTGTTCGATCCACAAAGCTACTTCCATCTATACCTGTATGGGAAAAGTAGTTGTAGGCAAGCATACTTCTGGCATGTTTATTTGCAGCGTTCTTCAATTGATCGTTCCATTTAAGAGGCGTTGTGGCCCCATGCCAACGCCCACCACAGTATCGACCTTTTTGACGTGCTTCATTCGTTAAATCAAATACTTGTTTTTCAAAATCATTATTGAAATCTCGACGTTCCACATCATTGAGAATATCACGATCATAATTGTTTTCATCAATATTGCTAATTGATTTTGATTCTTCATCAACGTTAAGCAATGGTTCAGCTATCACTTCATCTCTGCCTAAAAGTGCACGAAGCATTAAACGTTCATCATCTGATACTCGTGAGTGAGCCACTTGTCCAAAAACCAACCAAACAAAAGCACAAAACGCCCACATAGTCATTGTAACAGCCTCACAATACTTCAGTAAATAAAATAAAATCTTTCCTACAAATTTTATATATAGTAAGCATTAGAGCTGCATGCAGAACACTTTTTCCTTGGCTTCATCTGAAGGGTTCGGAGAGGATAGAATAGATTTATCGAATATTTTTGCTAAATTTTTCAATAAAGTTATACGAAATGGTCTACAGAAATCAGCAGTATACTCTAAGTTTTTTTGTTATTTTGAATTTCTTTTTAATCTATTAATCTAGTTTATATAGAGAAAAAGCCCAGAACACACCGCATCTTTTAGTACGCTTGTATTGAACATCAAAAGAAGTTCAAAGTGTAAAAAGTTTATCAGAAGGAACAATGACATTTTTTTATTACTACAATATCAGATGTCCACATCATAACAACATTTTTATCTCGCACGTATCTCGACTAAGACAAATTATAAAACTTCGAGTTGCTTTTCAAGACATGCATCAAGGAAGGCTCTATAAAACCTCTATGATCGAACTCCTTTTCATCTGTTCTGATTGTTGTTCTTACATTCAAAATAAATAACTTACGTGACGGTATCACTTTTCACCATGAAAACAAATGTTTTGAGAGCTTTTATTATTCGTTTTAGGGCTTGGTCTCTGAAAGTTTAGTAGAGCTTTCCACAGCACATCTTTTGAAAAATCCAATACTATACCATTTTCTCGAGTCGAGATATATGCAGAGAAAAACGTTTGGTGGCATTTTCAGTGTGATGAAAAGTGACAGTGCAATGTAAGTTGATTATTTTGAGTATAAGAGAAGGAATTAGAATAGGTTAAAAAGCTATCTGATTATTCATCTTTTTATAAAATCTTTCAAGAGGCATCTTTTGAAGAAACTAAAGTTTTTATCATTTACTTAAGTCGAGATATATACAAAGTAAGCATGTCACAACATTATGGGCACACAATATCGTAAGAATATAAAACAACCATTAGTTTTTTTCCCACTATTTTTTTTAATACTTTACAGTGCTTTCCACGCTCAACGTATGTGTACCAGAAGGTGAAGTGTATTCCGGACTTTCTTCGTATATGAACCAATTCCATAGATAAAGTGTTCAGTAATAAATAGCAAAGGGTTTGTTTACAATTTTCATGGACTATATATGTCTGAAATTTTTCTCGTATTCTGTCGTACTAGTTTCAATAGCATGTTCAATTCTTCTCGATTAAACTGGTGATACAAAAAACTGCTTGAATAAATGAAGAGTCGAACGATGCAAATTACTAAAGAATAATATAGTTTTGTCTGCAGAACAGAAACTGTGTTTGCCACTTGGTCCTGATTCTATCAACGTTGATGTTTGAGATAGAAAATATGTTTAGTTAGAATAGCTTCCTAAAGACCAATTTCACCTTCTCATTCTATCGCTTTCTCAATCGAGCTACAATCGATCGAATAGAAATATTTGTTATCATCTAAATACTGTTTCAAATGTCAATGTTTTCTTTGGTTTATTTTAATCAATGGGAAAAAGTTTCAACACAATTGAACACACTGAACCAGAGAAATAGACCTGATTCCGGGCTTTCGTTTGTATTAAAACTAAACTTCATGAAAGACTAAGTTGATCGAAAACCTGATGGTGTTCAATGTTAACAAGTGAATTTATGATCGATACTCTTAAAGCGTATCTAATGGCTGTGGTGGCTAGTTTTCATAGACAAAGAAATTAGTATCTTAAGAAAGCGGATTCCTGTAACATTAAGTCAGTGAAAAGTTCAACGGCTATCTTGGTGACGATGAAGAATACTCAAAGAATTTATTTGTTTTCGAAACCGAATCATGGAGAGTTGGATACCAGCCGGAATTCTTTTTCCATAAAAGTAAACTGTTAATTTTATGCACAAATGATATAGTGTCTAAATGGGTTATTTTTGTAGTTAGAATATGGTTAGAGACTCCAAAACAAGTGTCACTTACTTGTAATCAGTCAGTTATTTTTTATATGCCCAATGTTTTGTATGAAATTGAGACAAATAATGAATGAGATTTATATACAGTTTGCTCTTTGTATTTGTTTTTGTTTCCCTTGTGCTTCGATGTTGTTGTTGGGCCTTCAAGATTTCGAATCCGATTCACTATCAGTGAAGCGACTCTCCTTTAGGAGCTTTGTTGATATATAAATTTTTTGCGATCTCTCATAAGATTCTTTTTTAGATCAATATGAATAGAAAAGCAAATATCAGGCAACATAATCCCTTCATATTATTCTTCTGTTACACTATCAGTAAATCTGTCTGATACAAAAAAACAACAAAATTCATCTTATACTAGATTGCCAAAACTGTTTTACCAGGGAGTGCGACTCCAACAGCACATGATATCAACATTGAGTTTCATACTAAATGAAATCGGGTCAAAAACGGAACTTATCAGTATTAAACGGTAAGGGATCGGGGAGGGTGTGGGCGTGTGTGTGGGTGCCAATGTCAGTGTGAACCTTTGTCTGGTCACGCGGTGTGGGTGTGGGTGTGGGGTGGTGTAGGTGAGGGTGTGGGGTGTGGGGTGTGGATATGAGAGTTGATTACTTGATCTTCACGCTCACACCCACACCCTACTCACACATCCACGCCACACATCCACGCCACACCCACACCCCACATCCGTACACACACCCACACCCCACACCCATATCCGCATCCACACCCGAAGACTATTTCAGTGAGGAAATATGCATAAAACTGTTCTATTAAGTCAAAAGTCGTTATAGTATCCTTATTATATTTTCTCAGCTTGCTTTGGTATGACATTATGCTATTCAAACAAAATCGAATAACTGTTTAGCATTGTAGTTTATTGTAGATTTACTTGTATTTCCTACTATTTATAGCACATATTCCATACAGACAGAAAAGATAACAAAGCGAATATAGTGTGAAGGGTAGATTAAGTACACAGTTAATAAATAGTGTCGATGTCTGACGAATAGCTAATCAAAGCACAAAATTAATATAGAATTTGTAGCTCTATGAAATTTTCTGTCCACTGATAGGTGCCAGGAAAGAGAAAACATATGAAAGTAAATAGTGAAAAGCACTATAGTCGTGAAACAGTGCTTTTATATCATTACTGTAATGATTATGAGGGAGATATGACTAATCCAGGGGTTGAGTTGACTGTTATAAGGACAAAGAAACGAAGAATGACTCATGGCGGTATACCGGCCGGTCCAGTCGGGTCTGATTGTTTAGACAGGTATCGGTACCGGTAAGAAAAAAACCCTATCGATTACAACTCTATCTCTCAGATATAACAACTTGAAACCACTTCTGTCATCTTTCTTTCAATTTTCTAAGAAAAATATTAATCGGCTAACGACTATACTACCAACGACAAAATGACTGCAAATCGTATTTTTGATCTAAAATATAGAGTTTATGGTCAGAAGAAGTTTCCTTGGATATATATGAATAGTACAAGTGTAGACATTAATAATGCAAATAAAAGTTTAATATGAAGATACAAAGTATTGATATACAATCTAAGTCTTTTTAATACATTGTTGAATAACATTTGTTGGTAGGTCATTGCATGGCTCATTGGTTGTATTCTCTAGTTAAGCATATAATACTGAATTACGTTAAGGGCCAGGTTATAGTCCTAATGTAGCGCTATTAACCTAGCATGGAATATTGTCAAACGGAAAATTTGACAAAAGAATCCAGCAGTCACAACTTGAACTAGAGAATGCGACTAATGAAGTATACAATGATCTACTAACAAATGTTATTCAACAATGTATTAAAAAGACTTCGACTGTATATCAATATTTTGTATCTTTATACTAAACTTTTTTTATTAGAAACATCTACACTTGTACTATTCATAAATATCCAAGAAAACTATTTTGACCGTAAATTTTATACTTTAGATTAAAAATACGATTCGCAGTCATTTTGTCGTTGGTTTCATAGGAGTTTTTAATAGTT